GAATGTGTGCATAATAGAATCGCAAGCAGGGCCTGTCAAGCCCACTTAACAGTCTATTGCTTTTCTCACTGGATTGCCTACCTGCTTAGTCTCAAGAGCAGATTAAAAGGGTCGATGTGTCCTCTTGAGCTAGAACTAAGTTCAGGTCCACTCCAGAAAACTTTAAAATCCCTTATTTTTGTAATGGGGGACTTTTGGCTTGGAGGAAAGATATTTAAATCTAAATATAAAGCTTTGCTTCCCGCAAGAATAGATATTTATACTAGTATATTTTGCAGAATCATATGCCGCCTACTTCTTTACCTTTACAGAATTTCAATGTCCTATTTCTGCTCCATGAGATAATAACACCAAGAAATTTTCTTCCTGTCATATTTTAATCAAAAATAAACTATAAGAGAGCACTACTATGTATATTTTAATATCCAAAACTAGATATTAGCTTTCAAACTTTTGGAACTCAGGAATATAATATAAACAAATATAAAGAGGAGGGTGAAAAGTAGTAAAATATTAGTGTCAGTTATTTTCTTATCTAGAGACATTTGGAGCATCAGAAGAAAGAGGGTATAAAGACTAATGAATATTCAATTATTTATTTAGGGAAAACATTCTTAAATGTTCATCATTTCTGGCAAGAGGTGGTTTATTGGCACTAATTCTTATCTAAAAATATGATTGGTATCACATTTATAAATTGCTTAGGATTATTTCCCCTTAGATGACTGAAGGAATTCCCATCATTTGTTATTATATACATTTTGACACATATGGGTGTTTTACTTAGTACTGAGTAGATGTTGTCTAGAATACCATGAGCAATGGTTCTAATCCCCAAAGCTATTACTGTGCTGATATAGAATGCAGAAATGATTATGTGATTAGTGGATGAAAAAGATGCTTCTACAGGCTTTGCTTTCTGTTTATCAAAAACAGGTATTTGGTTATGGTTCAGTTCATCTAATCACATTTTAACAAATCAGTAGAGAATAATAATATATTGATGTCCACAGGAACACAGTGTAGAGAATTGCTCATTACCTCTGATATCTATATGCTTACAGTTTAGTAAGTAAAAAGATCGCTCGTGCTATCATAGTAAAATTTTAATCTGAATATAAAAATTTAATTCTGAGGGGAAATTTAGTGGAATAATGTGAAGAGAAGGGAAGAGTGCCATGGGGAGAGTTCCAACTGGTCTCCTGTGGCGAGAGTAAAAGTGGATTGTTATGCTGCAAACAAAGGTGTATAAGGATTAAACTTTGAAACCTACCAAGTCTATTTCTCTGTTAAATCAAATGAAATCCCCATTGCCTTTTCCAACTTAGTTTTACTTTTATCTCAACATATTTAATAAAGCAATAATTCTTAATTCTTATACTTACATAGTTCATAAATTAAACACACTAATAGACTTACATAGTATGTAATTATTTATACAAATGGTTATGCTGTTTCATTATGCTAATGCTCACAGAAATTTAGGTATAATATGAAATGAAAAGATACAGTCTCATCAATTTTTAAAACTTTAACTAACAATTATATAAGCTTTACATACAACTATTGAAAGAATGTGAATACAAACTCCACCAATTTTTTTCACAATTTTTTGAACTACAGGGTGCTTTATAGACTTAAGTGTTTCTTACATTCAAATGTATTTTATTTAATTCAAGGCTTCTTTCTTAAATACTTAGACTGAATTATGCCAACACTAAATACAATCGTGTGTGTGTGTGTGTGTGTGTGTGTGTGTGTGTGTCTTCCTCTATAAACCATTCTCTTTCTGTCATCATCAGAGACAGCAGTTCTATTCTTATTGGATATAAGATCACCATGTGTACACAGACCTTAGTCCACAAACTATACTTAAACAGGATTTAGACATATTACTGTAAAAGAGTGATAGAAGTAATTTAAAATACTTTAGATATATTCAGAGATGAATGTCTGCAGCATAGTTACGCCAATGGAAAAATAACTAGGCTTACTTTCTTAAAACCACAGAAACAAAATTTTTGATTTGGAACCTAAAGAACCATTTTGTGATAGGAAGCAGAGAATGATATTCACTTTAGTGGTTTTGTACAACTATGTCTCGCTTACATTTAAAAATCAAGTCTTGGGCCTGGCACAGTGTCTTATTCTTATAATCCCAGCACTCTGGGAGGCTGAGGCGAGAGGATTGCCTGAACCCACCGGCTTGAGACCAGCCTTTGCAACTTGGGGAGACCTCATCTCTATTAAAAAAAAGAAAGAAAAAGATTAGCCAGGCATGGTAGCACATGCCTGTAGTTCCAGCTACTTGGAACGCTGAGGTGGAAGGGTCACCTGAACCCAGCAGGTTGAGGCTGCATTGGTTGTGAGCGTGCCACTGCACTCCAGCCTGGGTGACAGAGTGAGACTCCAACTTAAAAAAAAAAAAGAGTTTAGTCATATTAGCAAAATCTACTTGTATTTTTTATTTTATTTTTGAAATAATTTTATATTTACAGAAAACTTGCAAAAAGAATATAAAGAGTTATTATAAGCCGGGCTCGATGGCTCAGTCTGTAATCCCATGCCTTTGGGAGGCTGAGGTGAGTGGATTGCCTGAACCCGCGGGTTCTAGACCCGCCTGGGCAACTTGGCGATACCTCATCTCTACAATAAATCAAAAATGAACCAGGCATAGTAGCGCACGCCTGTAGTTCCAGTTACTTGGAAGACTGAGGTGGAAGGATCACCGGAGCCCCAGCAGGTCGAGGCTGCGGTGGCCGGGAGTGGCCACTGCACTCCAGTCTGGGTGACAGAGTGAGACTCCAACTCAAAAAAAAAAAAAAAAAGTTATTGTATACCTCTCATCCCTAAATGTTACCCTAAATGTTAACACCCTACACAACAAGCGTACATTTGTCAAAACTAAAAAATTAACATTGAAACAATATTATTAAGTAAATGTAATAATACTTAATTTGGTTTTCAACAGTTCAAATTTTTAATGGACTATTTAGGGTTAGTTGGTGAGTGGGAATCGGGTTGGCTCCCATCAAATAATACTATGCATTGATATGTACTAAATGGCTAGCCTTACAGCAAAATCCACTTTTAACAGAAAACTTATGTAAGTGTGTGTGTGTGTGTGTGTGTGTGTGTGTGTGTGTGTGTATCCTTGCTCAGTAGTTTGCATATAGCCAGAAAAGTCCCAAACAGCTTTAAGAAGAAGCCTATGAGGTCTTTCCATGTGTATCTAAATCACACATTTTGAATCCTAATCTTGAAAGAATTTTTATACGACTTATATACAAAAGCACTTGTATAATGACATTGACATAGATGTGACAAACTATCTAGATGGTGAGGATGGTACTGGGAGAGATTATAGTATGGTATTTTAATGTTCACAATGTAAGCTTCAAGAGGGAAAATGTATATTTTTATCAACTGAAATGTCTCTATCTCTAGAACACTACATTGTACATAGTGAGCATTCAATGAATATTTGTTGAACGAATGAAGGAGGAATTTTTAAGTGATACCGCTACTTATGTTTTAGATCATTAAAACTAGACAGAAAATAGACAGGGGAGACAGTTGTAGGTTATTTGTCTGAGACAGGTAGTGAAAAAGGTGAAATGTATAATGTGTGGGTTCTTTTTTTTGAGTTGGAGTCTCACTCTGTCACCCAGGCTTCCAAGTAGCTGGAAATACAGGCCTGTGCTACCACGTCCAGCTAATTTTTGATTTATTGTAGAGATGAGGTCTCGCCAAGTTGCCTAGGTGGGTCTCGAATTAAGGCAGTGGTATTATCTTTCAATAAACTATTACCCTGTTAAGTGATAAACTAGTGATAAAAGTCAACCTGTAACCAGAGTTATATATTTTAAGATGGCATTTTCAAACATTTTGTATTCCACATACTTCCTTTTATAATCCACTTTATGATTTGCAGAGCATTTCCTCTTGAGGCTGAAAATCAAGGTCCTATCAAATTTATTATGCCGATTTTTTTTTGTTTTTAGTTTTTTGTTTTTTTGAGACAGAGTCTCACTCTGTCGCCCAGACTGGAGAGAGGTAGCATGCTTATGATCACTGCAGCCTCGACCTGCTGAACTCAGGTGATCCTTCCACCTCAGCCTTCCAAGTATCTGGAACTATAGGCACCTGTCACCACAACCCTCTAATTTTTTTAATTTATTGTGGAGATGAGATCTCGCCAAGATGTCCAAACTGGTCATGAGCTCCTGGGCTCTGGCAGTCCTCTCACCTTGGTCTCCCAAAGTGGTGGGAGTACAGGAGTGAGTCACCATGTTAACTTAAGTAGATTTTTAACCACTCAGTAAACACATTATAAATGCTTTCCTTCAGTAGGATACTAAGTAGTGGGGATGTAATTGTGTACACATGAATGCCATGGTCCCCATTCCTGGACATAACCTTTTGGGACAGAATCAAGTGAAAAAGAAACACAAACAAAAAATTCCCAAGTAAACACATACATGAACAAAATAAATTTGCTCTGCAAGAAGAGCTTTAAACAAAACAAAAGGAATTTGGGAGTTTGGAGATTGAATAAATCTGTAGTTACCGTGAACAGATGAGGCAATTTTAGGAGAGGGCATTTAAGCTGGGATCTGAAAATTGCACGTTGAAACTAAAAAGGTACTTACCCCATTAAGACAGAATCTAGAATACCTTCAATAGTTGCCACTGGGAGAGAGGAAGGAGAGCAGTTACTATACTGTTGATGTACAACAATTAGTAGAGTTGAAAATGCTTGCATCCTGATAGATAATGCCTACTTATAAAAAGGAAAACATTTCTATTTCATTAAGTAACTATTATGAGACACTCACTTTTTTATATTGTCAACCAATGTTTGGGATGTTAAATAATAGCATGTAAACCAAAGAAAACAAACTTTGATAATACCCAAACAAATACAGTATAATTCTATGTAAGTTTTGACTATATTTCTATTTTCTATCTGATTTATTTCTTTTGTGCATGTTTCCCAGGATAGTCCACTGGTCTTACAGTCTGACAGAAATGTAACAGTGAATGCAAGAAATCACATGGGGCAGTTAACTGGACAGCTGACAGTAGGTGAGTGTTTTGTGGAAAATATTGCTTGTACCATCTTACTCCATTTAAAACTCTGAGATTGTTTTAATTGGGGAAAGTAAAGGTATGTTATTTCTCTTATACATAAGTAGACATCCCATTACAGCCCAATTATTTTGCACGTGATTTGATGTGTCATAAAGCTAGCATGGTTTCCTTCATTTAGTAGTTACTACTCTTGTCAATGTCTTTTTATATGACTGAATTACATTTATTTTGCCAGTCATTACTCTTGAATTAATGAATATTTCCACAGTCTATGCTACAGTGTAGCGAATAAATTTAAATAAACATGTGAGATGACATAAGATCATGAGCTCTATGTACCCTTTTTTTAGGGAACATATTTTCTAATAAACGTTATCTGTTCAAATTCGAAATTACGTGAGTTAAGTATAATGTTAACAATTATCGCTTGTTTATAAATGTGATGTTGAAATTATCTGTATTTTAATGTTAACAGGCTTTAGTTGTTATAAATAAAAGTTCAGGTTAAAGTATTATTAGCTTTTTCTCATAAGTATTTTAATTTAGAGATTTATATTGCAGCAAAAGACAAGAGGTTATTCTTTGGCTCAATCTTTATAAGAAGTCAAATAAACAGTGATTTTTAATTATGCAAAAATATGCAAAGTTTTGATACATGTAGATACAAGAATATTTTTAAATACTACATTTGTTCTCTGGGGAAATTATCTGACATTGATATTATCTACATACCTATATCTATATATTTATCTCTCTACCAAGAGAGAGAAGAGAGAAGTAAATTACAATTTTGAGGAGAGAAGTATTTTTATTTTAATAAGAAATTAATAATTATTTAAATGGGAATGTATGTGTCTAATATCACTGATTAAATTGTACAAAAATATGACATTCAAAATGCGGTATTGATACATATGAATTTTGATTCTGTGCACAGTCTTTGTAGGTATATGAGATTTTTTAAAATATTATTTGCTTTAATGAAGCCAAAAAGGAAACATTTTAGCACATTTATATTTTCTCAAAGTATAATGGCATTTTATTTATAAAAATTGTTTTACTTTACATATTCTTCACATTTTAAAAATTTGTCATTAGATATCTATTAATTGCTACAACTGGGTAGTGTTTGTAATAAATAGAAATATGTCAACTATAAAGGGGGAGTTCTAAGCAAAGGTGTCAGAAGTTAAATAAAATAAATATGTCCATGGATACAGAATTGATTCAGAAGCATCAGGTCCTCCGTTAATCATTATGCCAATTCGCTCCTGCTATGTTGGAACTGCCGAAACTGCAGACCTAAAGACACAGGCCTAACCTGGGCAGACTTTTCATATCATAATTTTCTTAAAATTGACAATGCTTTAGCTAGATAGAGCTTTCTTTCATATTCTGTTCTTGATATTAACATGTCCTTAGTAGAAATGTCAAAATGTAAATTAAACACACAAAGAATATAGACCAATGCCTACTGTCAAACACAAACACAATAGCTACAGAATTTCTGCCTGTAGAGCAAAGCATCTGATTCTATTAAGTGCAAGTACTCTTTGCACCTCACTACCTATATATAGTGTGCTTGTATTTTCAGTCGCTGATTCTAATGTAGTATTAATATTTGCTGAATGTGAGACAATAGGGAGAAGGAGGAGGATAGGGAGAAAAAAGTTAAACTTACTTTTAAATGAAGCAAATTATTAAATTAAAGATATGGCAGCTTATCTCTGTGCATAGAAATACATTTATTCCAGTGAGACTTAAACTTAAAAAATGGTTTAATATCCAGATCATTTGGGTGTATTGTCGGTGACTTACATCATTTCACTTCTTTGCATTTTTTAATATATATAAAGAGAACAAAAGAATTAGACCAGGACAGGGAGTGGGGGTTAACATATTTATATTTGAAGTCAAACCATACGGAGCTACTTAGCAGTTGAATGAGCATCAGCAAAGTAATCTCTCAGAGATTCAGTTTTCTCATCTCTTAATTGGGAATAATAACTTATTTTGAATGATGTTATAAGAATTAGGGTAGTTTCCGTATCTGCAAATGATAGACAATTATATTTTAAGTGTACTATTATTTTGATGGTAGTGATTGTACTTATTAGTATGACTTAAATATGTTACTACTATGGGAGAAATCCCATGAAGACTTTCTATTCAGTGTACCTCAGTGACAGTGGTTATGATACATCTGATGAATTGTGATACTGTTGCAAAGATATGTCACAAAATACATCACAGAAAGTGTATCTGATGTGCAAAAACTTTTGAATCATGTAAGGATAAATTTGCCTTGACATAGAATTTGAATACATAATTCAATCAATGTAGAAAATTTGGTTTCACTTTTAAAGACTCCCGTTTTAATTGTATTGATATAAAGTAATTGCTTTAACCCTCTTTTTCTATTTCTTTTTTTTCTTTCAGTTATTGTTTCGAGATATGATCTTGCTTTATAATATAGTCTATGATCCTATTTTGCAATATTTGAAACAATATTGCCACAAAAGACTAATAATTAAAAAATCATTTCTTCTTTATTTTCTAAGTAAAACTAATCTACTTTCTACCAATATAATCTACCAATTACTATTAGAAAAGTATTATCAATTCTACCCATCTAATGGAATTTAAACATAATTTTTTTAGATTTAATTCATTATATATTTGTACCATTTTTCCTCAAAATTATGTGTAAGTGGTTTCAGCAAAGTGATATCTGTTTTCCTTTGTACCCTGCCTTTTATTTCTTTATAAGCCTACTTTCCTACTAATTCAAATCACAGGGATATGTGTAACCAGGGAATGAGCAGACCTTGTGTGGTAATTGTAACCAGGCTCATTTCCAGAACATGAAACCAAATTATTTCTAATCCAATCAATACAAAAAAATTGCACGTATGCTAACTTAAGCATAATCAAAACTAATTCTAAAGATTTTAGACTTTAGGTAAGAAATCAACTTGGCACTTATTTTTGTGATCTTATGAAGTTCCAGGCTTTATGATTAATTTGACCAAATAACATCAGAATTTCCCTCACTAATTCTAAGATTCTAATTTTCATGACCTTCATAATATTGGAGGAGATTAATGAACTCAAGATTTCTCCCTCCAAATTTCTTTTCTTAGAATAAAGCTGAAAGGAATGAGATTGTTGTTGAGAAGTGGTTAAAGAAAGTACAACATCCCAAGAGGTCAGACTCCTTGAAGAAAAAGCAAGAACTTTCTTAAACAAGTCTCAGAATCATTCTCCAGGTCAAAATTTTCTATTATTCCATCTATAGTTACTATGTTTTTGTTAGCAGAACCTTCTTTTTTACACAGGTGAAAAAACAGTGTGTGACTTTAGGTGTGTTATATACTTACATGTGTTGATATAATTACATTTTTATGACTTTCTATCAAAAAATGTGGGCAAAAGATGTAAATTATGCATCAGTTTTGTGTAACTTATTGTTTTCTCTTAGGAAGTGCATACAATACGTGACATATACAATAAAAATCATTTATTTATGATAATGTAAGAAGAGACTGTCATGTAATTTTGATATAGATTATGTTCACAACACTGATGACAGTGATTAATACTGTATGTACCAATTGATTTAACTAAAAATGTAATTATCTCTCCCACAAAATCCAGAGGATATTTAGTAATCTTTTATTTATCAATTACATCACATTTATCTTTACTATGTAAGTTTAAACTACTTTTGTAAAAATACAAAAACTATAAATTGAATTCAGCAAATAGTTGCTCTTTTAAAAACTTTAGCTGACTTATCTATTAAATTATAGACTGCTTTTTCTCATATTATAAAATATATTTTATTTTTTACAAAGCAATAGCTAAAACTAATTTGATTTTTATTCCTCTCACATGTCTTCAGTCTATATCTGGAGGATAAAAGACAAGTGAGTATTAACTGGGCAGTTGGAAAATGAATCATCTTAATGGACAGAGTTAGTTCTGTCGTTATTTTTTATTTTTATTTTTTGCAGATAGCCTCTCTCATTTAAATTTTGTTCACAAATAGTGGCATTTGAGAAACCCAGAATGACTGCTTATGTGGCTCTATGGCATAAACCTTATAAGAATTGCCATAATACCACATCTATATTATTATCCGAGTAAAACATTATGGGTAATTGGGTATTAAAAACCTGGAATGTGATTGTTCTAAAAATTTAGTTTTAGAGTGTGCTTAAAACTGCAATCTTATTCTTCAGATAGGATCTCACATTTTATTATTAGTCTCCTATTTAATGCTCAATAAATTTCAGAGAATAAATCCTGAATGAATTAACTCCTAGAAACTGCTAGCTGTTATTGTCAGAATTGTTTACTCATCTCTGATAGTCTCATTTCCATGTATTAACAATCGATGACATAACCAAATCATATAAAAACCTTAATTACAACCTTTAATTTCTTATTTTGTTTTCTTCAGTAAGTCTTGAAAACTTAGAGTCACGACTGCCTTAAACCTGACAACATGGTAATAAGAAAGAATGTCACCTGCAAGCAATTAAAAAGATGATATTTATATTTAGTTTGAATTTTCTTTTTCATATTTCACACTTTGAGGATTAAACACCAAATAGCAGTGAGAATTGATAGACATAGCAGAGTTGACTTCAGCTTCTTCAGAGGTCTGAGGTACTTGCCTTCTTTGCCCAGGGAGATATATGAAGTCAAGAAATGGGGAGGATGATCATCAGAAGATATGATAGAAGAGAGATGTCAGAACTGGTCATTTGCCCCTTCCAGAAGCTGTCGATCAGCTACACACTTAAAAATCAAATTAAAAAGCTAATTATGACCAAATAAGCTTTTTTTTGATGATAAAAAATTAAGCATTGGGCTTCTGTAAGAATGTACTTGTCTTTGATTGTTTTCTTATATATTTTGAGTTAATATACATGAATAACACAGTCCATTTGATTAAATACCCATTTCAAAAATACAATCAGTTTTTT